AGCTGGGGTGCTGCTGGGTTGGTCGGGAGCAGCGCTGCGGAACCAACCCGGCAGCCCCCAGCTGCTCTACCCCAGGTGTAGGCAAGAAAAGCCTGGTCTGCTGGGAGGGGGGCGCTAGCTGCACCCTCCCCCCTAGCAGACCAGGGAGACGGGAGTGGGGATACCCAAGTCCTCCACGGCTTTGCTGCGTCTCCCTGGTCTGCTGACCTGGGAGACACGGAGCAAAGCCGCAGAGCACATGGGCAGCGGGAGAGTCCAGGCACGTCGTGCTGTCCCACTGCTGGCGTGCTCCGAGGCTTTGCTCCCCATCTCCCTGGTCTGCTGGTCAGATCAGGGAGACGGGGAGCAAAGCCTTGGAGCATGCCCGCAGTGGGACAGCCCGGGCGTGCTTGAGTTGTCCCCCTGTGGGCGTGCTCCGCAGCTTTACAAAGCCACGGAGGGGCTGGGGCTGCGGGGCTGTCCCGCCGCCGGCTTCCCCCGCGGCTTTGCAAAGCCGCGGAGGGGCTGGGGCTGTGGGGCAGCCAGGCTCTGCAAAGCCGCGGGGGAAGCCGGTGGGGGGGGAACGTGTCCTCCGGTGTAAGAAAAGCCGCGTTCGTAACTGCGGATCCGACATAAGTCGGATCCGCGTAAGTCGGGGACTGCCTGTATGTCTAACCCTGTACAAATCTTTTTAATCAGGATCCTCAAAAACCTGGTTTCCTTTTTGTGTGTTGTGTACTCTCATGCACTCACCTCCTCCCTCCCCCTCGAAAAAGCCCTCAGGTAAACTGGCCGGTGTAAGAAAAGCCGCGTTCGTAACTGCGGATCCGACATAAGTCGGATCCGCGTAAGTCGGGGACTGCCTGTATGTCTAACCCTGTACAAATCTTTTTAATCAGGATCCTCAAAAACCTGGTTTCCTTTTTGTGTGTTGTGTACTCTCATGCACTCACCTCCTCCCTCCCCCTCGAAAAAGCCCTCAGGTAAACTGGAGAGAGATGGGATTTAAGACTAATTTACTTTTTTTTTTTTTTTTTTTTTTTTTTTTTTTGTTGTCTTGAGCCAATTCCTGGTTTTTCTCAGCATTTAAACAGTCTGTTTTTACCTTGTTTAGATGAAGCTCTGAAGATACCTTCTGACCCAGTTTCAGCTCAACATGAGCTAAAATGGCTGGATTTATAAGCACTTGCAACTTCCTCTCTTCTTGCTTAATGGAAATAGGTTCCTATCCTTAATTAAAACATTACAGTAGCAATTTATGGATAACTGTCATGATGTGGACATTGGGCTAGGTTGATTCTTGATTGAGTGGCTAATGTTTGCTCTTTATTTTGCCAAAATTCAAATCAAGGTACGCTTTATAAAAATGTTATTAGTAACTGACATGCATATGACATTTGTTTGAAGGAAGCTCTAGAGTAGCAGTTCGGTTTGAGTGAGAGCATATTTTAATCTGAATTTTCTGCTACAACTAATAATGGCAAACATTATGTGCAGCAATAAGTTGTGTTTTTTGTGTTTGCTCTTTATTTTGCCAAAATTCAAATCAAGGTACGCTTTATAAAAATGTTATTAGTAACTGACATGCATATGACATTTGTTTGAAGGAAGCTCTAGAGTAGCAGTTCGGTTTGAGTGAGAGCATATTTTAATCTGAATTTTCTGCTACAACTAATAATGGCAAACATTATGTGCAGCAATAAGTTGTGTTTTTTGTGTTTGCAGATGGCTTGTTTAATCAATACATCA